ACGTGCTTCTGTAATTCAAAAACCTGTTCACTTTGCTCTGGATCTTTTTTTTGATATTTCTGCCTCAAACTTGTTTTTCCACCCTGCCGATGTTTCACAATAGAGTAACTTGCCCCCCTCCTCTGGTTTGTGGCCATCTCCGTTGCTGTGCTGAGAATATATTGCATGCACCTGCTTTATCTCTTCTTCTGTTAGAGCTCGCTTTGGATCCTGTTGTATGCTGAGCCTAGGAGGAATGAACCATAGGGTTGAAATAAGGACCCAGGTGTTATTTCTCACGTCTGGTCTCAATGCTGCTGTCAACTCTCCCCCATGCAAATCACTTAACTCTCCTGGCTCGTTCTTGCATGGATTTAAGAACGCTTCCTTTCTACATATTGGGAGGCTAAGCTAATGGGGCAATGTGAGAGCAAAGAATGACTCCAAATGAAAAGGGGTTACCTTAAATTAAAGGAGTACATAAAGCACACCAAATACAGCATTTGATGCAATTATTTTTACTCTCTGCAGAGTTCAGCGTTCTGGGTGTGAGGGCTTTGCCGTCGTCATCTCTCCTTTTGTGCTTTTCATATCAATGCGCTGCACTCTGCATTGGTTGATAGAGGGCTTGCTGACTGTGCATAAAGCTTTTAATAGTCTAGGGCTGCGTCCAGATGAGCGCAGCCATGTGGGATGTGGCACCATGGACACATCTACGGTGCCACATACCGCACATTCATGCTGCAAGGGAGCAGTGCGGGAATTTTTTTTGACACTGGGAGATCCCAGGATCAAAAAAAACCTGTGCAAAAAAAAAACTAAGCAGGGCAGCATGTGTGGGTACAGCATGCACCACCCAAAACCGGAGCCTAGCCAAACAAAGCCACGCTCTGGCTGCCAGCCAGGCTCCACGTGGCAGGATTACCGCTGCTGCAGCCCCAGGAGGCCCCCATGGCCCCAGGTAAGGCTGTTGGGACCAGCCCAATGCTGGCCCCAGGCTCCCCTACCCCACCTGGGGTAACCTGCCGTGTGCCACAGGTCCTGGGGACATGTAGCAGCGGCATAAGGTGTGCCACTGCTAGTTGTCCCCAGGGAACCAAATGTCCACACTCGTGTGGACACGGCTGAGAAGTACAGTACTGGATCCATTGGAAAGTAACCACAGGAGTGGATATCGAGATGCAGAATATCATTGACCCAGTTTAAACTTGGCTGGGATCCTGGACTTCGAGGGGAAATGCCATGGCATCTCTCATTTATAAGGGGGTAGCATCACTGGTTTTACACACCCCTTGAAAAACTCCTCCCAGTAACTTTCTCTGAAACAAATGTCCTTTTAGGTTTGTACCTTGCTGCAGGTACCAGCTAGTTTTAATAAAATGACAGCATGTTGCTGCACTACTGGCATTCAGTGAAACACCGTCATGGGTTCGTGGGTGGGACGCGGCCCAAGCGGTCTTGGATCCTTTTGGACAGGATGAAGTTCAGACATTGGGAGCAGTGGCTTTTAATCCTGGAATTGTAAAATTAAGAGTCAAAAGGAAAAGGGGGAATTCAAGGAAAAATGCTGAAGAAAGACACTTCACTGCCAAAATGTCTTGAGCTGATGAGCAGGAAACATGACATATTTCTTCCAGAAAGAACTTTTAGGCTCCTTCACATTGTGCACACGAGGCTCCTCTCCTGATTTTTCCAATAAAGGCCATTGTAGCATTTTCCAGACCGGATCCAGGTGATGGGCAGATAAATAATCCAAACGTGTTTGATTTTACAGCCTCATATTTTGGTTTGTCTAGGTTCGAAGCCGTTGTTTTGTCCCTTTGTCAAATGTTCACACCTTAGGTGTGATCGTTCCCAAGTCCCGGGATCGTGAAGCTGTCTCTAATTATGCACGTTTGGGTCGAGGCGGGGAAGGAGGGAGATGGCAGTGGTCTAAAGTTGAACTGAAAAAAATCCTAGACAGTGGGCAGCATAGAGCCCGTTCTCCACGTGCAATCAGCAGTGCCGCGGTTTTTGTTCGACACGCACAGCTCTACTTATCTGAAACACCATCCAAGACTCGGATACAAAATTTAGAGAAGGAACCTATCAATGAATGAAACATTTGCCGTGGTTTTCAAACTGTCAGACAAGCAAGTAGTGCAGGAAAAAAAACCAACCCATCCATTCCTGTCCTGAGGGTGGACCTAGATAACCACCGGAGAGCTTAGCACAAATTATGCTACATAAATAAAAATGTAACGGAGATAAATTGCACTGAAATGTCTCGCTTGGCTTGTTTATCAAAGGAGCTGTCATCCTCTCTACAAAAAAGAGCCAAGGTTATTCCTTATTTCAATATCCCTTTCTTTTTGCGCCAGTGTGGATCTGAGAGCAAGGCTAGTTTTGATAACTGTAACCCTTGCTTTGTACAGTGCTTTGAAAGCTTTTTTTTTTTTTTTTTTTTTTACATTGGCGATACAGCTTCAAATCTAGGAAACGGCGGGGCGGGGAAGCTCGTGGAGCTAGCCTCTCGGCCTTTTAGAAGCGTTTCAAGCTCTCTGCAGAAGTTAGCTGGTGACTTGGTAAATTGGATTTCATTGGTGGAAGACGTAGGTGGGTGGTTAACACCAGATCCAAAATATGCTAGAATAAGGGATTGAAGACCAAGGTTACTTTTGAGTAGCACTTGCCTTGGAGGGTGAAGCGGGTATAAGCTTTCAGAGCTAGTAGGAAGAATATGCTGTAAGTACAACATATGGGGGGGGACGACACGTGGCTGACAATGAATTTTGGTGGTGGGAAGAGTAGACGTCGGGGGTATTTTCCAAATTTACATGGTTCTTCCGCTCTTCATTGGAGGATCTCAGAACCGCTCCTATGAAGATGGGAAGTATTGTAATCCCTTTCGCAAGGTTAAGTAACTTGCCCAGATGACTCCGAATTTAGTAGCAGAGCTGAGAAAACAACTCGTACGTACTGATTGCTACTTCCTTTTGATACGACCTGCCATCATCACTTCCCTGAGCGTTGGAAAACGGCATCCTCCTGGGTGATGTGAGAGCACATTTGTTTGCCGTGAATTTAAACACATGGCATTTTTTATGTGAAGCCGCTAACATCCCCTGTCCTGTCCGGATTTGATTAGGTACAAATCCACCTGGCATTTCAATGTGAAGGTGGCTAATCGTGCAGCGACCTGTTGCATTCTTATACTGGTTTGACTCTCCACTTTGATATGTGTTCAGAAAGGTAGTAAAATGGGAGCTGATGTGGATGGCATCGTCAGGGTCAAATCCTTGTCCTGTTGAATACATGCATGGGAGTACTTGGATTGATCCCGTTGAACTCAAGTTTCCATACCCAGCATGTGAACACGGCACTTGCAGACTAAACTTTCCTCTTCCTAGAGGTTCACTTCAGCATTTGCACTTGTAAAGTCAAATACTGCGTGTTCACACTGGTGTGATCTGCATCCGTATGCAAATCTGTGTTCAGTGCAGTTTTGTGTGCAAACATGCGTGGAGGAAACGGTCCATACAGTCTCAGCAGAGCTCATTTTAGCTATATGACAGATTGTATTCAGTGTTGGTAGCAATATTGTTTTGCTTTTTACCCTCATGATTGTCTTTTGGACTCATCAAACATCAGGATAGGCTTTTCAAATGAGGCTAGGAGAGTTAAGCACATAAGTGCCTTTGATTGTTCAATGGAGTTGAACTCCACTAGGTTCTCCAAAGGGGAAAAAAAAATCTGACCTTAATTCTTTGTCAGGAAACAAGAATTTGTAGTGCCAAGTGCCACTGCCAGCACTGGGGAATGAAGTTATTTCAGCCCTTATCCCATCTTCTGCATCTTCTTTATTCTGCAGGAAATACTCCAAAAAACCACGTTGCAAAATTAGAATTGAGCTTGCTCATGAAGATGATGTTGTTAGATCAAGATGACTTGTGAGATCAATTATCAGGCCGATGTTGTTATATAAGAAGTAGATCTAGCCTTGAAAATCAACTCAAAATGGGAGAGACATAATAGAAGTTCAGGGGAAAGCAAATGATGGAGGTAGGAATTGTCACTCGATGTACATGGAGAGGTCAGACTATTTTGGAGGAGAAAAGGCTTATAGGAGATCTGTAGGTGGCAAGATCTACCTTTTGGGGTTGAGCTCTTGGAATATATGTAGGCCTTTCAATTTATGAGAAGAGGAAACTATTTAAGAGTAGGTAGGAGGTTCAAGGGAAGCATCTCAAAGTCCCTTTATACCATAAGCAAGCAACGTTTCCTAGTGCCTTTAAGAGGTGGATGACGGTCAGGATTACCCTTGTCTTCCATGGTGGAGTGGGGGGGAGTGACTGAGTTAACCGAATAAGTGACTTGCCCTGTATCATTTGACAATTTTTGTGGCAGAGGTGGGAACAAGATCCAGGTTTCTTGGCTTCCACCTCTGTTCTTACGCCCCGGTACTTAGTTATGCCCTGGTGTTGCCAGTGAGCACATAGATAGAGGAGGCATGACACATTTTGTCCAACAGAGAATAAACTTGTCCCCTTTAACCAGGGAGGTTGAAGTATTTTGGAGGAGAAAAGGCTTTTATAGGCGTATAGTGAATTTGGGGGATTCGCTTTCCATGCAACAACCAATCGTAGGCCTGGTCTGCCCACTGTGTTGTACTGATTGAGCTAAACTGATAGAAAGCTTCAGATGAGATGTGAAGTTACATTAAGTTGGTCTAATGCAAGATATCAGATTCACCCAAAGTTACATTGATGCATCTTTTGGGAGTAGATGCCCTTCTCTTGGCCTAATGGTATTCATATAAAAATAGTTTGTAAATTTATCAAGGTGAGCAACATCAGGATACAGTGCAACTGTATTGCAACGGGGGGGAAGGGGTTGCATGAATTGAACTAAATGATTTTTTTTTTAAACATTATTCAGTTGGGTCTGTATAGAAATACTGTATGTAGGTGAGGTTTATGACTGTAATCCCTTCCCTTTCAGTGTCGGAGTACTTATTAACATTCACCTTTTCACTTCCACAGTGGGAGCGTCTCTGGTTTCTAATCCTCACCTTCACTTTCTTCCTGACGCTGATCTGGTTTTATTTCTGGTGGGAAGTTCATAATGACTACAACGAGATCAACTGGTGAGTAAAATGTTTCCATTTGGGGTGACGTGTCTGGTTTTGAGCAGAACCAGATCACATGGATTTTTCTTTTTAAGAGCTCTCCAAATCTGTATGCTTTTTTTTTGGGGGGGGGGAATCCTCTTGTTGCAATCAGTAGCAGTAGAAGATGGGAATATGGGGTGAGCAATGGCATCTGTGACGGCCTCTTGTGTCTGCACTGATAGATGCAATTATGTGTGGTTACTTGCATTTCTGCTATTCAACCGCTCAATGTCTGTGCTTTGTGTAGAGTTTCTGGTAAACGTGGAAAGCAAAGCTGGAAATTAAGTTGTCTGCCTGTCTGCCTCTGTAATGGGTAGTCGTATTTAACAACTGTCTCGTGAAAAGGTATATATCGTGTGTTATAGCACGATATGGTAGATTTATTAATCTTTGTGTCTTGTTGGCTTCCATATATATATATGTTGAGGAACTTGGCAATAATTCGTAGCTCACCGATTGAACTATTCGAATGGTAGATATGCTGCTTGTTTCCTAATTCTGGCCTTTTGTTTTGATCCAGATCTGAAAAGTAGAAACCCAATAAAAAAGCCTAGGTTCATTTTGTCTAGGTTCGGGATTCTTTCCTACAAATGCGAACACGAAAAAAAGATGCATGCAGAAATACCTGGACAAAGACAAAGCAACTTACTCTTGTTCTTTTCTGATTTGATGCGATTCATAGTCATGTAGCCCGGTTACTTTTGGCTCATCTATCTCAGTGCCTCACATCTACCTGTAACATGAAGAGGAAGTCATTCTCTTAGCCCTACCAGGCTTATTTTAACTTAAATGTTTATGAAGTATTGGGATATTAAGATAAGTACCATAGAAAGGTCTATGAAGAAGTTAATACTTTTAACTTCAGGGCAGGGTTTGAAGACTGCATAGTAAATAAGGGCCACTTTGATTCATCAAGATAAAACATGTATTGAGCAGTTGCTTGGACAGAGCTCACTTGAACATCCTGCACGGTGAGCGAAGCAGGGTTTCTGTCGGGGAGCGTGCCTGTATGTAATAGATGGACATATTTGGTATGCACAGGGGGCTAAATCAAGGTGGCACAGTCAGGCTTTGACTTGTGCTCTCTGAATGTAGTGGTCCAGGACAGTTTGCCCAAAACCCCCCAAAAATCCAGCTGTTGTCTTGTTGACCCCACCATTGGTTCACCACTTGGGTGGGAACTCTTAGATCCACCGAACAGGTCAAAGCCCCTTGAGCTGGCGGAGCAACTGATGAAGAACGGCACACTATTATTGCACTGTGCACCAGCGCGGGAAAGGGGATATACAGACTTTGCTGGGCTTCACAACTGCTTGCTGCTGACAGAGGAATGGGAAGAGGAAGGACTCCTAGATTACTTCTAGGGTCTGAAAAGAGTATGCTCTCGGGCTCGTCTATGCTGCTGCAGTGACAAGCGCTGGGAAGGGCAGGGCTGTGTGTGCCCTGTTCATGCCAGACCTATCCAAGTCTACTGAAGTGCTCCAGATCTGGAAGATACCCAGTGAGGCTGTGCCAGGTTCATCTCTGGTAGGTCTTAGAGCAGTCTCCGCGGACGAGCCTGGTGACCTTCCAGGTCTGACGCATACTTTCGGATCTGGGTAGGCTCAGCCCTTTCATCCCCGGGACCAGCCACTGCAGCCTTTTGTGGGCACAGAAACCTTTTTCTGTTGCCTCCGTTCTGGAGTGACGAAGTCTGACCCCGATGGAAATACCACTCCTGCCAAATTTAAAGCTGAGGATAAATTCAAGCACTCTGCAGAAGACCTCTCTGGGTTTTTTTGTAGGTAAAACCTATTTTTCCCAAACTTCATTCTCAGAAAGGCCCTTTCCCAAAAGTTCAGCCTGGAACAAACTCTGATTCTGGGAGTCTTTTGCGAATCTATAAGCTACTTGATGCCAAGGGTAGCCCTGCCAGTAGTAAAGTGAAAACTATATTTTTAACATGGCTCGGCTCTGAAATGCTTTAACAAATTACTCAGCCCAAACAGCCGCCACCTAAATCACTTGAACGTCATCTTTCTGTCAAAAACAATATGCAAACGGTATTTAAAATGCAACAGAGTAGTTAATCCCATAAATGAGCTGCCAGTTTAGGATGCTGAAGTTGTGTGAAGGACACTGTTCCAGCAACTTTTATGAGCGATCTTCTGCCAGGGGTGACTAATACAAGACAGGGCTGACACCGAACAAGTTCCTGTTTGCAGCACTTCATTCATCAGTCAAATGCTCCTAGGGTTGCATTTACAAGAGAGACGTCTTTGAGGGGTACGCTGTCTCCTGTCAGATTATTTGACAGTTGTATTGAGCGTGGCTTGTCAGCTTCTATCTGTTTTCTAGAGTGGAACATATTTATTTGGGAAGCCTTATGCTCAAATAAACTTGCGTGGGGGTGGAATAACTTAGTGCCGAAGAGAAACTCAGTAGTGCTCAGGTAGCGTGATCAGGTTGTGGATACCCAACACACTTCCACTGGGTTCATGAACAGGTGTGAGCTACAACGCTGTCCAAAGCAGACGGGTTTAGCTGCCTGCTGTAGTTGCTAGTGTAGCATCGCTCCACTACGAGCCCATTTGCACTGCATAAAAGGGGCTGACTGCAAGAGCAGACACGTGACCCCAACATCATTGTGCATCCTGAATTGCAAAGGAATAGCCTTCACCCAAAGACTGGTGTAGTGCTGTCTGTGCATCTGCTCCACACTTACACCAGTCTCGCAACAGATTTTGCTAGTGTTCATGCATCTTCTGTACACCCCCCAGTTGTTCTAGCAGTGATTCTCTTGAACTTGCTGCCCCTCCGTATTGTGCCCCGAGCAGAAATATTGACCAGTATTGTCTCCTGTCCCTGTTCTTCCTGGTCTCTCTCTGCATCCCCCCTGCTGTGTCTCACTTTAACCTGAAAGCTTGTTGGACAGGACTAATTTTTGCTGTTCTGCCCCTAACTGAGTGGGAAGTCCTGCTCCATCGTCTCATTTCTATGGCAGTAGCAGTTATCATTTTAGCATACTTGGAAAGCTCCCTCTGCGGGGCTTTGCTGATGTGACTCTTCAGTAGCTTGGGGGAAGACAGAAGGTGAGCAGGGTCTGCTTTTAAAGTTGGATTTTTTGGGTTTTTTTTCACCACCCCCAAAATCTTTTCTTCTGTCACCCTACTCCCAAGCACACATCTTCTCTTTGCTAACTGCTAGACCCCATGCCCCAGCCCCGAGGTCTCTGAGAACAGGACAGGTTTCCTTGGGAAACTTGTGAGTGCCGCTTTGAGTGTTTTATAACAAAGGAAAGTAGAGGGAACACTTCAGGTTTCTTTCTAAAGCTGTCCTCAGCATTTCCACAGTATCTTCTATCTGATGACCGCAGGGCCCATTAAAGTCAATGAAGTTACATGACGGGATCCAAAGTAAATGGTCTGCAATGAAGCCCAAAGTGTGTGCAACTCGCAGGGTTTCCGTTTCATGGTGGAATTTGAAGCCAAAGTTGTGCCTGAAACCAGAGTTACCAAAGCCTCCGAGCAAATCCAGGCTGTTGCAGAGTTTTGCAAGGTCTTTGGAATGAAGCCAGGAGAAATGTGACCTGTCCGGTAAAGAAACTCTTGAAGAACTTGGGCATGATACCGTAAAGACCCAAACCCCACTATCTTTGAGCCAGCCTCCACAAGGGTCAGTTGCTGAGCTTTGTACATCCTACTCAATGAGGAAGGCTGCATTACCGCTCTCTCCAGAGACGGATCAGCTGAATCGTAGATGGTAGCTGGCTTGCCCGTGGCCATGAGTTATCCTGGCAGTAGAGGTGGGAATAGACCCTGTAAATCCTGGCTTAAACCCCTGGACTGCACTGTTTCCCTGGCACACAGTTTTCCCTTCTAGTCTTAGGCTGCTGGATCCCACTGAAGGACCCTGATGCTGGTGGATGAGCCCAGCTCTGTATTGACGAGCGCATTCAGCTGCTTTGTGTTACCTACAGGCCTTCTGGCATCCAACAGGTAAGCATCATTGCACACTGCCATTGTAATGGTGCCAGCTCCCACCTCCCATAATCTAGTTCCATAGCTTTTTCCATTCTCAAAGCTAGAAAGAACACTGACTTTTTAACGAGGTTTAGAAGAGGCCTCATTTGGATCTGAATAATAGACGGAGGGTGCTTGTGCTCCTGCAGACACCCACCTGAGCAACTCACTGTGCCATGGCTATGAGTTTTGCACACTGGGCAACTCCTGTTTCCACTGACTTTTTTAGGAGTGCTTGACTCTTCGCACCAAGCACTGAAGCATGCGGAGATTGCAGACCATGCTTGAAAGGTTGGCTGCTCATTCCATGCGCTCAAATTCTGAACCTGGGCCCATAGGCAAGCAAATCCCAACGTTTCCTTCCGGCGCTTGTATTACCTCTCTCGTATTCTGGAGAAAGTCGCTTTCCTTGTCTTTTTCATAGCTTCATCTATAAAATGAAGGTAATGTTTTGGAGTAGCTGATTCAAAATTAGGCATAGGATTTGCTTTAAAAAAAGTTCTAATGTGTTCTGTAGTTCCATAGTCTGTCTCTATATTCGGATTGTAAACTGGTCAAGATTCATCTGTCAGTATGACTGTAGTACCTAGCATAGTGGACCCTCAGCCCTTACTGGGTGTCATCATAGCACATTATGTGAGAAGCTTTCCCTGCTGACACCACCCTGTCCCATTAAAGTTACTGGGTGTCCTGGCACTAAGTGAGGCTTTCAGGTCATCTGGCGGCTCATGCAGTCCTTAAATGCAATTCATGGTTTATTTTTCTCTGTATCCACAAGATGAGAGTAAAGCTACCCAATGAAAGGTTTCCACTGTGGTGTATATTGAGCAACTATGGTCATTTAGCTGTGAGCAGAACAGGGTACTGGATTTTATGATCACGCACCCTTTTTTGTGTGTGTGGTTAAAATGGCAAATTTATACGCAAGTTGTATAAAACTCTGGAGCACTTTGTAAATTGCCAGTACAACTTTTG